ATACATACAGATGGCTCTGTGGGAGTAAGCAATACAAATGTGCTCAGGCTTGAAGACCAGATTGCAAATGGCAAGTCAAATTTGGGATCTACCAGCCTTTCAGAGTAGCCTTCAGACCTGGCATGTTCTTCAAGCTCGTCAGTAATTTAGTGGGTACCCCTCAGTAATGCTGTAATTACGGTCAGCAGTATAGCTTTTCTCAGTTTTAATTGGAGTTTTCATGTGTTGAGCATTCATGAACTTCCATTTTGTGTAGCACCTAGTTGACTTCAAGGCTCTGGGTGTCTCAGAAATAAAGTAATCTTTCAAAGGACCTTGAATTTCCATGACACATTGGTTCTCACTTCGTGTCAATATGGCTTTTTTTAAAGCAATTTGTATTGATGTACTGTGGTTTTGAACCATGTGGGCAAAGGTCATTACTATAATCATACTCAAGGCAGATCTTGTCAAGATTAGTTACTTTGCAGTAAAAGAGATAGCCAGGAGTGTATCTATTAAGAGTCTTCGGCTTTAACATGGTATACAATACAACAATGCTCCCAAGGATAATTGCAATATTGAGAGTATTCTGAATGAGGCTTTTATTTTATTTGCATGCCACTTGGATTTATGTAAAACTATTACTTCAAAAAAATCCTTCTAACTGGGAATAAACAGCAGTTAACATGGGAAGGGACCACCTGAGCCATTGTATTTGCTTACCTAGGAATAGGTGTTTAAACTGTGGGTCACTGCATCTACTCTAGGCATCACAACACTATTATTTTTCCCCTTTGGGAACATAAATCTGTGATAAATTAGTAAGTCACAAGTGAGGATCAGAACATACAGCAAAAGGTAGTGGAAAATGTGTACAAGTAACAAATCACCATGGTAAATAAATGTGTCCCTTAGTAGTTCTTTGAAAGGAAGGATAGGGTGTGACCAGCGCAGGATTATAATGTTAAATATGCTTGTGGTGCTCATCAGAATTGAAAATTTGGAGGAACCAGATAGACAGCGATCCCAAGGGAGCAGCTGCTCTGCCAGTGCCCATTAAATCAGCTGCTGCTGTGCAGGTAAAGAGCTCAGCTGCTGGCTGTGCTCCCTAGTAAAACAGCCTGCTGCCAGAGGTGGGAGTTGTCCCTTCTGCCCATATCCAAGCATTAGCACACAGGTACTTCTCTTGCGTGTGTGCATTCATGCCCAACCTTCCAAATCCTTTTTTTGCCTCAGCCAACTGACTTTCACCACACCCAGGGAGTTTGCTGCAGGCTTTGAAAATGCCTGGATGTAAATGGGCTAAAATTGCTTCTGTTTCAATTATAAGAATTACTTCAAACCAGGCAAAACTGGTGAATTTAAAGCTGTGGTGCTGAGAGTAACTCTGGGAAACGAGCAGGTAAATAAGTGTTTAGTATTATACTCAAATATATCTTGGCTAAAGAGCAATTTTACATAGCAGCAAAAATCAGTTTAAACTTCAACCTCTTTTCCTCCTTCTAAAGCATGTGGCAGTTTTGTTTTCTTTTTTAACCTTGAATATATCTCATAATAATGCTGTGCGAGGAATTAGGTATTTTGCATGAATTACTGGTTGTTGGCAGTAATCTTGCCTGTTGCAGGGAGGCATGAATTCCTCTGGTAAAATCTTAGCAACAAAGGAGCTGATGAAAAAAATTCCTGCTAACTTATGTGTGGCCAGGATTTCACCCTTGATCTGTAGGCGGAATGCAAAAAATGTTGCCTCCAAACCCACAGATGTGGTTATTGGTTACAGCACACTGCCTTCTCCTGCGTGGGCACACTGTCCTCTGTAACACATACGATGTGTAGGGCTTCAGAGAACCTTCTCTAAACTCATGGAAGGTTGGGGTAGTTGGGTTGTTTTTCTTTCACATTGGAAAAATAAATTGTTTTGGAGCTTGATAATTAGCAAGAGTAGCCTAGAAACAGGAAGGAAATGGCTTTATCTTTAGTGAAACATTTCGAAGTACAGAAAGAAGTCAACCATGTATCTGCTTTGGAGTGAAGCCAAGAGTTTTTCAGTGCACTCCATGGAGAAAAAAAAAAAAAAGGGTGAACACCCACCCCAAAATCGCCAGCAATCGAGTTGTCAGGGAACATTGTGTGGGCTGAAGCAGCCAGTCTTTGGCTTTGAACTGAGAAACACATCTGGTGAACAGATTAGTGTGCCCCCCACCTCCTTCATGCTGGAAGAGCCCTATCTCAGACAATTCTCAGCCAGTTGAACTAGTAGTCAACATTTGGATAACCACCAAGAAGCTAATCCTATTTGTAAAGAGTAACTTTACAGGACGTCATTCAGAGATGAAATTGCTGTAAGTTGTAATTCGTTATCCAAACACAAACCATGAGGTCAGTTCTCAGACAGCTCTCCTCTGAGTCCATCATTGCTGATCTCTGAAGCCAAGTGACTTCTCTGTGTTCCAGTTTGTGCCCACTAAGGAATTCCATGAAAGAACAATGTTAGCCATGGCTATTGATCTAGTCCTTGACTGACTATTAAAATGTCTTCTTAATTTGGCCATTTCTTTTCTAGAACATCAGAGATGGAGGCAGGCTCCTTTAATTATGTATTGATCTGCTTTTTGGCTTTCTTTCCTGATCTTTAATGAATGAGCCTAAAGTGACTTCTGTTTCATTTTTCTATGTGACAGAATTTCAGATGTCAGGTTAGTTTATTTGCTTTGACACTGTTATTTGCATCCTTTTTATCTTGACTTATAAAAAGCTTACAAAATATGCATGGTGCAGACAAAATAGACTCAGATGACAATTAGTGAATGAAAGTCAAGATTTATGCCTTATTCCCAAGGCTGGAATGAGGATATTTGTAAGAGCATTTGCAGCACCAGGAAGAGGATTGTAGGGGACAGCTCTTTTCAGGCATGGTGAGTATGTATACTCTACAGGGCAAGTCCATCTATGAAAATAGTTAAAGCTTTCCTTACGGCCTGTGCTGAAGACTGTGGCATAAAGTCCTCTTGGCTCTACCTTGCAGTCATTCCTTTTCATAGTGTAGAATAAATGTGATGATCTTTTCTTATGGACTGATTTAGTTTTAAGGGTAAGAAAGGCTGGATTGTTCTTTTAATTAACATTCAGAACAGGCAAAGAAGGATGGATGAAAGTTGCATCTATTATCTGGCTGGGTAAATAGTAGTAAGTGCCCTAGTAAGTCACTCTCCTGTTTAGTGCTTAAGGGCAATACACAGAAATTCTTTCATTGATTCAATTTACCAGAAGATTTAAAGGCAAGAGAATAATTTGAAATTTTATGAGAATGTGTAGTATCTCAGGTTAATGTTGCATTTTCCTGCAGCGAAGTGGAAAATTCAGAGATAAAGTAACCCTTAACATTTTCCTTGAGACTTGAAATTTTGTACTCTTTAAGGTTTAAGGCAGACTCCTAGCTTAATGTAGTGAATTGTGTTAAAGAAAACCATCCAGTGATGCCTCAATCTGTACGATGCCTCCAAATGGGGACATATCTTCAGAAAATAGAGTTATTTTGAGACATAACTGAGAATGTACTAATGATTGAAGAAGAATTGTCTCGTGTGTTTATTTTTCATGTTTATTCTGGCTTACGCTATTTTGATAGCTTTGTGTTTGGCTTGTTGTGCTCTGGTTTATATGCTGGTCCCTGTAGCAGACTCAGGGAACATAGGTGCTCACAGTGGCTGGCAGCTGTGCTGTGTCTAGCACCCATGTGCCCATGTCCATGCCCCTGATCTGACTGTAGACTGTGTTCTTGCCAACACAGGGTTGAAATCCTTCTGCTCCAGGGAAGTTTGCCACCCTTAACTAGCTTCCAAAGTTGTGGTAAGGGTGAAGGATCCATAGTTTGGATACTGTGCTGTGTGAGCTGAATAATCTGTGGGGGTTTCCTGGAAAGATAATTAGCCCAGTTCCTGTCATACAGCCAAAGGGAAACATGCTGACTCTGTATGAATCAGGGTGGGGTTTTTTACAGAGAGAGTGTGCTGTTTCCGCAAGAATTATATAGCCATCCTGCTCCTAACATCACGTCTGGAAGTCAGAATGTATTAGCAAGAAGCTTTGTGCATTTTAAGTAGACAGTTCATCCTACTATCAGAATAATTTTGGAGTGAATGTTATCTTTTAAACATATGTATTTATAGATGGCTAGGGCAAAATGTTTCTGTTGCTGTTAAGATTTGTTGCTGATCTCAGTGTAAATCCTTTTTTCACTTGACCATGATTGCAATAAAATTTCAAGTGATTCAGTGAAATTGAGGCTTATATTAGAGTTAGGATGTGGATATATGATCCAGAACTGCCTTGTGATCGATTAAACAAATTGAGCTTTAAACCACCATAATGAAGGCTACAAATAATGTTCTTGGCTTCATCATGTGACTAAAAGCAGCCTTCAGGGAGGCTGTTTAAACGGAGGTGTAATAACAGCAAGTCTGTTGCTTGGTGCTAAGCAAAACTTCCATATCAGCAAGAGATTTTGGAGCCAGTGAAGCTTCAGTGATTGTCATAGTTCTAATGTATGCTCGTTAAAACTATATATAATGCTCTCAGTCATACTAGATGAACAAACATGAATCTTCATTGTAACTGTAAAAGGCAATGGAAGGGTGAGCTAAAAGGAAATGTCTATGGTAACGCCTGTACATGTGAAGCTAATACATGATAACATACTACTACCTATATTTTCCCAAGATGCATTTCCAGTTATCTGTCTGCAGGGATATTAAAAGCACCTGGAGCAGTAAAATGAAATATCAGTGATATATGTATAAACAAACCACTGAGATTTTCAGAAATAATGAAGACCCTAGCTGCACACTGGTGTGTTAGTTGCTTTTAAAATCTAAAGTGAGCATCACTGATTTTAAGTTTGCTTTTCATAGTGTTAAGAATTAGCAATATATGTTAATATTATTATCTTTGCCAGGCTTTCCTTCTTCAGCTGAGAATTACATCTTTGTATATAACCTTATTTTTTTTATTCATTTTAGACAAGCTCTATATGGGACCAGGGCAACTGTACCATGATCTGCAGAACCTTTTACATGATTTGACTGTAGTTGGTCAAATTAGTCAATTAATAAGCAGCCTTAAAGGAAACTATCAGGTAATAAACAAAGCTGGATTTATTTTTCAAATATGTTCCTGTTGTAAAGTACCATAAATGTCTCTCTCTGGGAGCTGTGCAAGGCATTCTTTGGTTCTTTCTATAGAGTGTAATAAATTTTACCTTTAGTAATCCATTTGCTTTAAACTGTTTAGCATTATAAGTAGATTACAGCTGTCTTTCTAATCTTGTTTTTCTTTGTTTTTAAGTGTAAGTGGATACTACAAGTGTATGCATTTACTCAGTAGCTGATAAGCTTATATGGGAACACAATTACATTTTGATCTTATAAAATTGAATTCTTGCAGTTAGACAAGGTAGTAGGAGGGTGGTTGTTTGGAGGGAGCTGTTGATGCCCATCCGAGCTCATAATCCTGTCTTTCAGGAGGAGCTGTTCTTAAAACTGAGTGCAAATCACAAAAATATAAAAGAATTCCTAGGGGAATTTTGAAAGCAATTCGCTTTGGCTTTGTTCACATTCTTTTTATTTAGCTTATATTCTGGCAAGTGGATACAGTAATTTAACAGTGAATTTCAGAGTAAGTTCTCCACAGTCTGAAGACTTTAAAAAAAAAAAAAAAAAAGTATACACTTTTTTGCTGTTTGTTTTACTTGCCTTGTGTATGCTTAGGCATAATTTTTAACTCCTACCTGCCACCATAGGCTGTAAATATATATGCATGTGTGAATATGTATACGAAAGCTGAGTTTCTTTTGGGATATCTTGTCTTTAGAGTCAAGGGCATTAAATAAAACATAGTTTTGTGAAAATATGCACTGTGAAGGAAGTTTATGGAAAAAGTACCTTTGGACAAAATTTAACAAATATTTGAAGATAAATTTCAGCTGCATTATTGTGAATATGTATAGCAGAGATAGCATAAGATATTCACCCAGTAAGATACAAAAAATGTTTCTGCCTGTATTTCTAGTCAGAGCCAACTATGTTTTGAAAACTTAAAATTAAGTCAGTGTTTCCAGGTAGAGATGTTTTATAGATAATTAGATACAAAATAATTGGAACAGTTTGGTCGAGGAATGAGGTCAGCTTCCCTATTTCTGAAACAGACCTCCATTTTAATAAAATTTTGACTGTGGAAAATTAGTGTACTTTTGTGTATGAATACCTGTTACTGTTGATGCTTTAAGTGTCACCCAGCTGTGCTTTTACCCTCTGTGACCAAACACTCAGCTTACTTATTAACTTGGGTTATTATTCCAGCGTCCTATTTAAACAGATTCCAGCTGCACAGACATCTTTCATGATGGCTCTGTAAATATTCTGGATCAAAGACTCAAACAAAATTTATTGGCAGTATGATTTTTAGGCTTTTTCCTGAGATCTTCTTTAGAAACAGAATTCGTGAGTTCTGATTGAAATGAAGTATAAGTGTTGTTTTGTACACCTGATAGAAATTTACATAATCTGAAAAACACTTGGGAATGTCATCTGTATATCATCAAAGTCTGAGCAATGTGAGGTTGAATCATCAGATAAAATATGTTGGAATATTTTTACAGATATTTTTTAAATGTGTTTTCAGATATGGTTAAATTATCCATGATTAAAATGTAGACTGAATGAGGGCCAGCTGCCAGAAATTGTTTGTCATATGCAGAGATCACCTTAGCCTGTTGGAAACAGGCCAGTAGGCTGGCATTGAATCTTAGCTTTTTTAATTTTTCAGAACTTAAACCAATCTGTAGCCCATGACTGGACCTCAGGTTTACAAAAACTGATTTTGAAAAAAGAAGATGAAATCAGAGCGGCAGATCGCTGTAGAATTCAGCTGCAACTCCCAGGAAAACAGGACAAGTCAGTAGTAATCTTGGTTACAAACCTTTCTAAATGGGCTTATGTATTAGGCATAGATGTACCAGGGAGGATTTGGGAATCTGTAGCTTTCCTTTTTCTGTCTTCATAGTTAGCTTCTGACTTTTGCTCTCATGCCACTGTGCTGGGAACTTGCACGTTCCAGGGCAGTGTTGTAGTTTTTCTCTGTTCCTCAACCTTGTGTTCCAGGTGCAGGAAGTAAGAGAGGAACTGTGACAGTGACATCTCATAGGGAACACCCACTGTTACGTTCTTTCACCAAGGGGGTGTTCTTCTTGTACCATTTCAAATAAAGTGTAGGGAGATGAGTGCATAGCATATCATAGCCTGCATGCTTATCAGAGCTATGCCTTTGTCTAAGTATTAGAAAATAATGAAGCTTCATCTTACTCAATGTTTCTAGTCGTGACTGAATCTCTTACTCAGTGTGTTTAGAGTGGCTTTTTTTTGTCTTGCAGGTCTGGGCGGCCCACTTTCTTTACAGCTGTGTTCAATACATTTACCCCTGCCATCAAACAGTCCTGGATCAACAATTTACAAATGGCTAAACTGGCCCTTGGTAATTCTTAGTTACCTAAATTTCCTATCAAGCTTAGGTAGCTCTTTGTGTACAGTGCATTTTTTTTTTTTTAATTTTTATTTTTTAGAAAAATTACTTTGAGAAAAAATTATCTGCAGATAATAAAATTGCAATACAATGAATAGGAGTGATTGTGTATGACTACAAAGTAATGATGTTATAGGTAGAATGGGGGTTATGAAGGAAGAGAATTTCTATAGTACTTTAATGATGTGGTAATCATTATTAATTGTTGTATCTAACTTAACAAGAATGAGATACTCTACAGGACAGACAGGTGAGGAAGTTATTCCATTATAAACTTATTTCTTCAGATCTTACAAACTTTTTAAACTTGGAACTTCAGGTTCAGATTTCAGTTTTAGCTCAGAATGATTTTAGCTAATAAAGCTGATGGGTTCGTTTGGTTAGCTTTCTGAGCATGAAGTAAACTTCTGGGTGTAGTTTTAATATAATGCTGTACTTCTGTACCTGGATATGTAAAACTCAAGTTTTTTTTGGGGGGGAGATTCTGTTTTTTAACGTATATCTGTAGTCTTCACTAGAGGGATTACCACAAACAAACCTGATCTAAATGGGAGCAATATAAAATGTGCTGTCCTGTGATTTTTAGCTCCTGTGTTTGCACAGGGGGCATAGATTTCCAAAGATACCTGGGATTTGGGATGTCTAAGTTGAGAAACATTGAGGATATGCACTTTCTAGAAAGCAAGTTTCACCAGCACATCCTTAAAATACAGTGCTTTTATGGTATCTCACTGAAGGCAGGCAAAATAACAAAAATAAAATGAGAGAATGGGTGTCTCCGTCATTCCAGAAGGAGAATCCTTGTGGTTATGAAGAGTTATGATTAGTAGTTGGTAGTGATGTCACTTATACAGGCAGAGAAATGCTATTTGCAAATCAGATTTCTTAAGGTTTTCTGTCCTATTTTAATAGCCTACTTGACAAGATCATTAAGAGAACGCATTTTCCTGATGAAAGGTGTTCTTTTTCTTTTTGCAGTATCAATATGTATCTGATCTACTATATTGAATTTTTTCTCATAGTTTTATGTTGTCATTCATGCATATATGGTACAAGAACAGCCTGATCAGTATTAACCAATCCTGACAGAATTATTTTCTATTCCTTTAGAGAGGTGTAAGTGAATATTCAGTTTTAAGTATTGTGAGATGTTTGTTGTTTGTTCTTTCCATTGCAGCGGAGGATAACCTCTTAGGTTGGTTCTGTGTAGAAGATGATGGAAATCAAATAAAAAAGGAGAAACATCCTCTCCTCGTCAGACACATGCCAGTGATGATGGCCAAGCAACAGGAGTTTAAGGTGGACAGAATTTCTATATGAGATAACACTTGCTTTTCTTGTGTGATATAACTGCTAAAGAAAACCATATTGTAAATACATCTATTAATTCATACCTATTATTTCTCTTGAGTTACTACTTTGGTGTAAAACCAGTTGCAATGGAAGGTCCAAGAGGGTCACAAGAATGCAAAATACTGCAATCTTTGAGGCACTGAAAACCTTAGTGTTGACTTGTATACAGTATGGCATCTGTTTTCAGGTGTAAGCTCATCACTCAATGATAACAGAACTGCTGGGAGTTATGAATTGGTCTTGAAGTTTCCAAGTGTTTGTTTGAGGCTCCAATCTAACCTGCAGCTTATAAAGTGCAGGAATCTGATGTCCATGATAGCCGTCCTGTATTCATGTAACTATGTTACACTATCCCCTTGAAATTTCTGATTTTCATTAGAGCACAGAGAGCAATATTTTTTAAATTATTTTAAAAGATCCATTTTATGGGGTGTTATATAAAATGTAGTTCTGAGCAAAGATATGGAAATAGTCCTAATGGTTTGTTTCCTAAAGTAATGTGTCAGTTTGAAGTAGTATTGACCACTGGCTTTAATGATGAAAATAAGTACAGCATGTCCAGACCAACAGTGGAAGGGAAGGGTGCTAGATACTATTTTTTCCAGTTCTTCATCAGGATTTCTTACCGACCATCAGTTAGGCTTGTGCAAAAACACTAATGGAAATAAAACTTTATATGGCCAGAATCCCAATGTTAAATTAACATCACTGCATGGATACTGCTTAGAGCAGAAGTCTGCAGACCTCTTTGCTAGGACAGCCTATGCAGGAGGGAATCAGCTTCACTTCCAGTATGAGTATACAGGTCTGGATGTTGGGGAAAAATAATTTCTAGCTGCAAGTGCACTTGAAATGTGTAATAATGTTAAATCAAACCATTCCTGTGATACTGGTTTTCAGAGCAGAAGTGTTGTTTACAACAGCCAAAGCCCACTGAAAGTCTCTGGTCTCCCATACAACCGTAGTTATTCTTGTCTTTTTAAACAGCTTTTAATACTTTCTAAAGCCACCACTGGTGAAATAACCAAACTAATTTAATTTTTTGCAGAAACTTAAAATGTGTATGTCTTCTTTAGAGCCTATACATTTGTAAGTCCTATAGCTCCATGCCAGGAGCCTTGAAGGCCCAGGCTGAACTCCTGTAAACAGATTACAACAGGATCTGCTTCTTTTGAAGGGAAAGGCAGGTCTGTGGCCCCTACTGTTGGGTCATGGTCTTTGCCTTGGTCTCCTCAGGAGAACAGTGTGTGGCAGTATTTGCTGGAGCTCTGGGTCAACTTTGCCAGGTTTACTGCTCCTAAAGATAATGTGGGTGTGTGCCCTACTGTCATGCCTGATTGCTCCCAAGTCCTCGATATTACTGGAAAAGATGATGTAAGTATTATTGATGGTTTTCTGCAGCCTTAGCTACAGTTTGAGTGTCAGGCCACAGGTTGGGGTAGGAAGAGACACTTTCCTTGTTACCTCTCTGTGTGCTGCTCAGGCTGGCCAGTAGTATAAGGAGCCTGTTATAACTCCCATCAGAGCAAGTTTACACTCCAGGCAAAATGCTTCTCTCAAGATTGAGAGTTAAACTACCAGGGCTTAACTACGGAAAAACATTACGGTTTTGGCTAAGATGCAACATAAGAGATATAACAAGCAGCCCAAGAAATATCCAGCATGCAGGCTGTCTTGTCTTTCACTAGTGATGTATTTAGCTGTCACAGCTACTGTAAATCACCACTATGAGTAGATAGCTTCAGCATGTGTTAAATGAGGCATGCAATGACTGGCATGGATAGTGCTTTTTTTCTTAGTTTTTCCATCTATTGGTTTCCATCTTTTATCCTTATAGCGAATTGCACTTTTGAAAATTAAGTAAACTGGGAATTTAGAAATCTTAACTTACATCTGCTCATTATGGTGAAGATATCTAAGTTAATACTAACCAAATTGTCTCTAGTACTGCAGTATAATCACAATGACATTGATGTCTGAGACAAGAACATTAGTGTTAATTATAGAGAATTTTGTCTAAAAGTAGAGTATCACACCTCATCAGAAAATCATAAAAATGCCTTGATGCTTGAACCTTATTGCTTGAATGATTTTCAGAGTTGGGATGGATTTAAATATAGATCTTGAGTCTGGTGTTGCTTTCAGGTTTTTCTTAAATAGCTTTCATGATAAAATTATGAGTATGGTTATTAATTTACTGACATGATGACATAAAGGTGGGAAGCAGTTGGAGTGTTACAGGTGACAGTACTAGCATTCAAAATGAATAAAGCACCTGGAGAAATACTTTGAGGAAAAAAATAATAAAAAAAGGGATGCTAGTCAGTAGGACAGACACACATGGTAGGCTCAGGCAGAAATAAAGAGCTTCGCAAGTACAGATTTGAGGAGATGGTTGAGTAGAAGATCTATAAAACTAATTTTTCATAAACCAGTAAGTTAAGGATTGGTTACGAATGTAATATTTTTACAAAGAGAAAATAATCAATGTGATGTGTACAGGCTTCAGAAGAGGTATTCATGGTGTAATGCTGCTAGCAGCTCTGCTAGAATAGCGCCTTCAAGGGAGAAATTTCTGCACTCTCGAGTATATGAAGCTGATTTATCTGCTGGAGAGATGCCAGTTGGAAAAGTGATAATAATAAAAATTA